TTTCTAGAGTAGGTGGGAAAGATATCTGGGCCTCTCTGATCAGAGATAAGAAGTAGAAAATAGATGGGCAGCAAAACCAACGCACAAAAATAAAGAAACAACAACATGGTTTACACCCTTTTACTCTGAGATTCATGCAGGAGTAAAAATTTTAACTTGGTTGAGGTTTTAAAATCTCAGACTGACCTGATGGGCAGAGAAAATCACCTCGATGTCTCTGATCCATGATCTGAAGTAAATGGCTTCATTTTTAGATTAGATGGTTACATATGAGTACTGTGGGTACTTGATAAGAATGGTGCTAAAGGGACTCAAGGTACACTAACATTTGGTGACTTCAACTTCTGGTGTTGGAGGCTCAGGATGAGCCAACACTACCACCTGCATGTCCTGACTGACTGCAGCTGTTACCTCCGCGGACTTTAGACTTGAAGCTGAGAAAGGCCCGACTCAGAGACAGTAAAGGAAAGCTTTTAATGGCAAACTAAGGTGAGGGGGTTTAGTCTGCAACATAATAGCTGAACACTTTTATAGGCTGTGGAGATGAGCTTATCAGCAGTGCACAATAAAACCATTCAGCAGCCACTCTCCATTTGTTCTCTCTTTTTCTCTCTAGTGGTTGATTCGGCCTTTCCTTCTCTTCTTTCGGCTATGATAACTTGATGGATACAATGGAAGCATCAAAGCAGCAGTAATTTAGATGGTTATATTCTAATGTCAGTACCAAAGCAGGGTTTTTGTACTTTGTTCCCTTGCACACTGCAGGATGAAGGAGCAAAATGAAACTGGAAATGTGACAAATCCACATTTCAGAACTTTAATCACGATCTTCTCTTAAATAAACTAAGAAAAGACTTTGTGCCAAAGACCTCCGGTGGTTCTGTGACCAAGCAAAACAACTTTACTTACTGCTATGAACAGGAGTACATGCCATGCTGTAGGAGCTTCACTGAAAAGTGAAAACTCTAATCTTCACGCAGGTGGGATTTACTGCAGGATTAGATCGTATTAGCTGGTGCTTGTGTTCAAAGGGACATGACAGGACGACATAATGAACGGAGAAGCAGTAATTCTGATCTGTCATGGTGTTTCATTACCACGGCACATTCAGATCTTTCTGAATGGGTCAATTAGTCTATTCTTGTCCTTCTGAACGTGTGCAGCTTTTTTCAAGTCCTAGAGAGAAGGCCAGCTGGAAACGAAAGTATTATTATTTTTGTTGTGTTAAGACCATTTCATTTGTTGCATTTGTGAATTTTAAATTTGCTTCCTGGAAAGGAGATTCTGCCCATCCGTTGCTCAGGATGAACAATGTGCTTTTCTTACAGGCTATAAAACACTGAACTAGCTTTTTACCTTCTCAATGACACCTGTGAGTATATACTGTATAAGTATATAAGTTTTCACAGCCAGTTTGCAGAAATGTACGTGGAGACCACATGTGATTAAATCCCTCATGGATTTAATCAGTGGGGCCGTGTGCGCGGTGGTTTGGGAGTATGGGCTACTGGACCTAATGATACAGTTTATTTTGGTAAGCCCTGTACAACCACAGACAGAGCTTGGTCCACTTGCTAGAAATAAGTCATACTTATTGTGGGTGACTGTACCAGTGATTGTACCAGCACTACTCTTTCTGTCTCATGGAAATGAGCTTCCTCTGAAGGCTAAGATCAGATCTCCTGCTCTTCCACATTGGGGGGAAATGCTATTTGCGGTGGCTGATGGATGTCCTAATGAAGGTGTTCTAGGAATGTCCCCAGCTGAAGTGAGAACTTGGGCCATAAGCCGGATGTGGTGCCCCTGTAATACAGAGTTAGATGAGTGAAAGGGGGGGGGGGTATTCTTCAAGGCTGATTAATAAAATGTTGTAACTTGATTTAGTTGACATTAATACAGCCAACCTATGATTAATGATAGTACTGCTGTTGCCCCCTCCCCAGATCAAAAACTCAGTCGTAAAGTTCATTTAAAGACTTTTTGTCTTAATTTGACTTTGTCTGCCCGGCCAGTGGCAGGAGGGGTCCTAAAGAGATTTAGGAAGTCTAGACTGCCCCTGAACTTTTATTTGGTTTCTCTTTATTAAGTTACTTCAAACTTCATTTTGAATTCACCTTCATCCAAACCACAGACAGGAAACTTTGAGCCCAAACAATTCACTGCTCACCGCCTTTCTATTTGTGACATTATGGTTTTTGTATCATCACTTTAAACAACGTCTAATCAAGTATTGAAGCTTGAGGCTTTTTCGAGAGCTTTCCTAAAATCTCTTGCTTTTGTTCTTCACAGGAGAAGCCATGAAAGATTTCTAATCAGCACATTTATTTTTGCTTGATATTTTCTTGACATCTTCACTTCCCCACATGAATAAAATGAACGAGTTTGTCTTTTTTGTTGTTTTTTCTCCATCTGGTTGTGTGACACTTCCAGCTCTCCTGGAGAAAGGGGATTGTTTCTTTATCACAAAGTAAGCCTTTAAGGAATCCTGCGTCTGTTGGCTCTGCTGGTGAAAGTATTAGAAGTGCATTAAAATTGGATTAGATTCCCTTTGAGGTTAGAAGGTTGCAGGTAGTGGGCCCTGCTATCATGCCTTCCAGCATACTTTTCTACATTGTCAGGTCTATCCTGCCGTCAGTGCAGAGCTCAGTTATTTCCATTGTTCTTGTTGTTACTTGCAAACAATAATGAAAGTTTTTTGCTAGCTTTTTATATGTTAGGATCCACCTATTGATCAAAATTATTAATGTAAATTCTTCTTATATTTTCTTTAAATGCTACCTATAGCAGCCTACAAACATGAGAAAATCTGGTTGCAGTCTCTCTTCCCTTTGTCACACAGCCGTCCTCTTCGATGGGTTCGGCAGATGTGAACTCTAAGCAGCAAACTTATTTTCATATTTTCACTGTGGGCTTCTGAAAGCTGAGCTCCTGGAGCTAGGACTTACTATTACAAATATATCAAAAACCTTAAAAACCCATTTCATAGAGCTGCAATAGATTTAATACAGCTGAGCTGTTTAATTTTCCATCCATCCATTCGCTTCCGCTTATCCTTTTCAGGGTCGCGGGGGGCGCTGGAGCCTATCCCAGCTGTCATAGGGTGAAAGGCGGGCTACACCCTGGACAGGTCGCCAGTCTGTCGCAGGGCTAACACACAGGGACAGACAACCATTCACACTCACATTCACTCGCACATTCACACCTAGTGGCAATTTGGATTATCCAATTAACCTATCCCCACAAGCTGCATGTCTTTGGACGGTGGGAGGAAGCCGGAGTACCCGGAGAGAACCCACGCAGACACGGGGAGAACATGCAAACTCCACACAGAAAGACCCCGGCCTGATGGTGGAATTGAACTCAGGACCTTCTTGCTGTGCGGCAACAGTGCTAACCACCGTGCTGCCTGTTTAATTTTCCCTTTTTTCTAATTATGAATGAACATATGTTGTGCACTCATGTCTAGAATGCCATACGGCCACTTTAAGAACATGACGGGATGTAGTGTGATCGTGTGTGGTTACTGGTCCCTATAGCTGTGGCAGGCTGACTCTGTGCCACCCTGCTGCTCTCCCCCTGACAGGCCTGATGGTGATAGATGCCACTCCTCTCTTCCTGATGAAGGGGATACATGGCCCTGTATGTGGCTGCCTGTCTGGGGAATATGAGGCTGCCAGTAAACCACTGGCTCACATTGTGATTGAGGAGCACCCTCATTCCTGTACAGCAAGTCGTGACCTCCTCTGTCAGATCTCACCAGGAGTGCTGGTCTCAGTGTGGTCTGTGGATCCACTGGGGTTGCTTCAAAAAATCCAATACACCTGAGCAAAATTAATCATATTTCCATAACTCCCATATGTGCTGTTCATATCAGCGCTCATGTCATTAGTTCATAACAAGCGAAACAGGTTATCAAACGTGGTTGTAAGTCACGTGTTTTGTGTTTTTGTGGTGTCCAAGCAACACGTGCTTTATGCAGTGGAAACAAAGGATTTGATCACTCACCAATATAACTTTAAAACTTCAAGTTTTGTAAGAGAGTCAAAGTTGTGTTAAAGGTTCACGTGTTGTTTAAGGAACCTCGCATATTTTAAATGGGTTACTGTTATGAGCTGTCCTACGTGACGCCTTTACAAGTAAACATAATCAATGAAAAAATAACCTGGTTTTATGTAAATGTGGGAGTCGTAGCAGCTTTGAGTGATGGCACTCTGTTAAATTAACTGGACTGTCAACACACTGAGTGACAGCTTGATCCAATCCAATCAACATTTTCAATAAATGTGTACAGTGTGATGCTCAGGACGCTGATAAGTAGAAACCAAAAACATTCAAGAGTCCAGTGAGTTAAGGTGTGTTCACACATGCTCTGCAGTCATGAACGTGACCTTACCTGGCTGACCAGCACAGTCGTGAAACTGTCTTCGACTGCTCAACACCTGCCGAGTTATAACCGGTGGTTTGACTGCCGCAATGACCCGGTTACTGCGTTCACCAGATATCAACACAATTTCGATCCGCTCCTCACGTGTTAACCTCTTCGACATGTCGATGGCTGTGAACAAAGAGAAACTTGTAAAGAACTCATGAAAGAATAAAGTTACGTTGAAACCAAGCACACCATTGTTTTTCTTGTGACATTACCAATAAGTCTGATGTGTCACATGGGCCTCTTCCTATTGAAAAAACACAGGTTGTATCCAAGATGGCCGACTTCTAAATGGCCACCATGGTCACCGCCCATCTTGAGGAGTTTGCCCCCTCACATATACTAATGTGCCACAAACAGGACTTTAGTATCACCAACCATTCCCATGTTATTACGGTGTATCCATATAAATGGCCCACCCTGTATTGACACATCGTGCAGAAGGCTGGCATGCGGAGCTTCTCGGGATGTCTGGAGCATGCCAGCCTCATCTGGCACCAGATTCAAAGAGAAAGAACAAAGGGTGGTTTTTTTACACCTTGCCAACACCTTTGGGTCAGTTCTGCACGAGATGTTGTGGATGGCCTTCAACTATTTCAGCGTACCAAACCACATCACAGGACTGGTCAAGACGTACTTTCAGGATTTACAGTTTTGTGTGACAGCTGAGAATGCCGCTACAGCCTGGGAGCACCTGGAAATTGGAGATTTCCGCTCTGGCATTTATCATGGCAATGGAGTTGGTCCTGAGGGCATCCTGGTGGGTAGTGGGAGGTGACTCAAGAGTGGCCTTCGTCTTCCTCCCATTAGGGCCTACATGGACGACATGACCATCATTACAACAACAAAACCATGTACTAGGCGATTCCTACAGAAGCTCCTGGAAAACAATGGGCAAGGATGGAGTTTAAGCCAAGTAAATCTTGCAACATCTCCATCGTAAAAGGAAAGCTGACAGCAATTTTCCATGAAATCCATATCTCTCGGCTCTGTATCTGCAATCCTTTGGTTCAGCTTTTTTTCTCACCCCGGTGTTGTTATCAGTCAGATTTGGGGAAACGCATTCAGCCCAGCTGTGTGCAGAAGGTCTGCCTGGTACCTCTGCCAATCTACAACTAATTACGAAACTCTAAGCATATATAAGTAAATATTTCTAAGCATAAATGACAATCAACAATACAAACCTAACAGGTACCATAGCCTACCTCAGCGCTGCTGCAGTGCTCACAATGAATTAGAAATATGAAAGTAATGCAGCCCTCCAGGCACTCCCTGTAAAACAAATATTTCTGCTAATGGTCGTCTAGAATTTAGCATCACTCAACAACAGTGAATCATCTCTCTGCTGTTATACAATCGCACTGAATTCTTTGGGATGTCTTAGCTTGTTTTTGTGTTGCTTTATAAATCAGATGTTTTCTTTAACCCCCCGAGGCCCTGCTATTGGTATTAAACAGACTTACCTTAGCTACATGTGTGAGGCAAAAGAAAACAGACAAGTGAGAAACTCTGCAGAGCAACATATCCAGACGCTGTCATCAGCATAAAGATGAATTTCTTTCGAATTCCCTTACCTGAGTTACAACAAGCTGTACTATCCTGCACTTGTTAGCAAACAGATTCAGAAGAACATAATAATTCATCTGGAGTGATGTTTGTGCCCACATGATTAATCCAAGTCCCATATTTGCTGTCTTTTGTCTTTTTTTGTTTTTGGCGGTTACTCCCGGCCATGAGAGAAAAATCAGGCTCTGCCCTGATGAAGAGTTCCCTGCATTTACAAGCTGGTTTGCAACTACTGGTCACTGACGAGGACCGGAGAGGAGTGTTGTGGCTTTAGAGAGGGTGGTGTGAGTGACCCAGAACAGCTTAGCAATGCTCCAGATTAAGCAGAGAATTCTCTTTAGGTTATGAGTGTGAGCACAACCCCAGATGCAAGCACACGTATTCTTCTGTTGCACAAAATAACCAGATTAATAGATTATTTTAAACGGGAAAAAACGAGAAACCTTAATGAAATCATATGAAACATAACTGTCAAAATGAGACATATAGTAATAAATGAAATCAAGTGGCCAGGGTGTGCAGAGTGTTATGTCAGTCAAAAAATAGCAACACGCTAGTGTTCCTTGCATGGAAAGCTTGTTAGCTCAGTCATTTTTTGGACGCTGGCATGAAGACTCACCTGTGCTTATGTTGACAGCTGCTGCATGAGGAGGCACTACAAAGTTCTCTTCTAATCTTCGAGAAGCTGGATTCCTGAGAGGTTATGTTTTTCTGATTTGTTGTCACTGTATCATTTTCAAGAATAAAGTTTCAAATTTCTGAGAGTTTTTCTCAGCTATGAGCTATTCTAGATTGTAGAAGGCTGCACATAAATAATGTAAAGACTCTTTTAGGCGGCTCTGCTGGATAGGAAATGCAGTCTCTTCACAGACAGTCGACAGCAAACACAGAGTGCAAACTCTTTAAATCTGACTTTTTTCATTGGCTCTTTTCTTGAGATCTGTTTTTCTTGTTTCGTCTCCTTTCTATCTTAAGCTGAAATGGAGCTTGTACAGACGCTAGTATACTTCTGTCAACTGCTCGGTAATTCATCACTCAGCCACACACATGTTTCTGTGTTCATACGTCAATGAACAAAAAGTCTCTTTCTTTCGTTAAACATACGTGGTGTCAGACGACCAAACACGCATACAAACAGGGCTTTGTATCCTTCAGTAGTACAATTTATTTTTAAAAAACACTCTATTTTTAAGTCATAGATCTCATTTAAATGCATTTTATAGCTAACCCAGTGTATTATGAGCACTTTGCATTGGTGAAACTCTCATTGTCCTACTGTGTACTCTCAGAACTATGCAAATGGACTCAGACTCTGGATGATAAACCCTGCTTGTGATGGTTATTGTAAAACTTCTTCAAGTTCCTGTGTGCTTTTCATGTCACCATGGACCCGGCTGTGTGCCTTTCATTAATCGACACATACTCATCGCATTATTTTGCAGCAACAAAATGGATGGATCCATCCAACACATCCATAATTTTCTTAAATGGTTATCTAATCCTGGGATGTGGGGCAGCTGAGGCCAGTCCTATTTGACTTTGAGCAGGGGACAGGGTATATCCTGGACATGTCACCATTCATCACAACAAAACTGCTGCTCAAGAAGATCTACACAGGCATAGGGGGGCTGTGGAAACCCCACAAAAGAGTAAAACAGGAGCTGTGAGGTGCACAGTGGGGCTTCCAGATATGTCATTGGTGATATAATTGGTATTTGATTTTGAATAAAAAAGTTTCTTGTTTTGACCTTCTATCACAGATATGCTAAAATATTGAAAAGTAAACAAATCAGATACACTAGAGCTTAAGAGGTCTCAGTGTGATTGGTAAGCTGAGGTGTGAGTTGCTGCAGAATGGGCGTGTTGTGATTTGTGAGACGGCTGAGTGCACATGAAAGTGTTGCAATTGTCTCTACAGTGCTATTGGCAGACAGTAGTAATGCTGCTCCAGAAACACTAGAAATCCAGCACTTAGCCTCCTCCCTGCCTTCCTGTCACAGCACACTTAATGATGAGTCAAAGATGTTTGAAATTGTCTCCAAACTTTCTCTGAATTGTTTCTGTGAGACTTTCTGTAATTGTTCAACTTTTACAGTAAACAGTGGAAGAGGGTTTTTCAGTCAAACTGATGGAAACAATCAGAGCTTTGTGAGGTTTCTTTTCCTCCAAAAGAGAAAGTTTTCAGCTGTCGAGTAGTTTTGACAGAGTACCGTGTGCATCTGCATGGATAGAGATGCTGATGGGGATTCATGTTTCGCTTTATCATTCAAGAAATGAGGAAATTCAAAGGAAGCTACACTGTGACCACTCCTCTCTCTCCCAGTCTGATTTTAATGTGTGCTGGGGCATACGGTGGTTGCATGAGCTCGCTGTTCTATTGGAGCTCACGTTTGATGTTGATGTGCGGTGAAGGTGGAAAAATGGAGTTGTGCTGTACTTGTCATGAATGCATTTCTGTAGTCTTGTTGAATCCGTGGACGCCACAAGAAACGCAGTAACAAACAAGCTACTGTGTTTCGTGGAAGACTCTAAAATAGCAGGTTCACCTGTGGAGAGAATTACTTATGTAGGTTAATTCTACTGGCATTACATTTATCATATATCACTGTAGCTTCCTGTTTGATGCGGCCGAGGACCCCACTGTTTCCTGCCTGCTTGTTAAGCAAAGACATATTAACCCTGTTTCAGCTGCAGCACATTGTTTTAGCTGCGCTGAATGCTGTGCAGCCGATTGATTGATTTAACTGTCATTTCTATAAGAACTATTTGTCCCAGTCTTGCTGCTATGGCTCTCATGGGCTACAAGCGCCACAGTGTTGTGTTGCTTTATCTTTTGGTTTTGTTTTTTTATTGTAGAACATACAACGGGAAAAGTAACGAAAGGAAACACAAAGCAAAAATCAACACAATGACAATCTTTGCAGTAGAGCATGTGTACTGGTGCATCATGCAGACAAGCTATCCATGCCAGTAGACCGTGTGTGCACAAATATATTTAGTTGCCAGTTTATTAACTCATTCACTGCCATTGACGTCTATAGCCGTCAATGGCAGTGAATGAGTCAATGGGTTTAACTCATTCACTGCCAATGGCTGGCAGTGAATGAGTTAATATACAAATAGCTTGAGTTTACCCACTTAAATACAGCGGTCCTGCAGTGACATGCGAGTTTCTGTTGAAACTGTTTCAGAGAGGTGTGGTTCTGTCTACGTCCTGGAGGAGGAAGTTTGCAATGCTGTTTCCCTCATTCACTATATTTGGCAATATGCTTGAACCATATTAGAAACATACAACGTTGAATCCTCCAGGTGAGTTATTTTACTATGATGATTGTTACATGATTGTTATAGTGCAAGAGCTCAGAGACATCCAGTACAAAGGGCTGCTCAGGTGGCTGAAGGACAAGAATTGTAAAAATGAAAGCTGACATTTCAGTGTGACAACATGATGTTGAACGAATCATTTTAAAATAGATATTTCTTTTGCTGAGGGAATCCGTAGACACTTATCTTAGACATCTCTCAGATGTCTAAGCGAGGGCTGCAGGTCCCACCTGCGAGTCAGGTTCAGTTTCTAAATACAGAGAGTTTGATATTTATTAATCTTAAGTGATTGGCGAGTGCAGCCACATGTTAAAATTTATACAGCCATTAATATGAAATTCTGTTGTTACATGAACTTGTTTCCAGTGGGAGCTGAGCTCCCGCAGGCCTGGTCTTTGTCACCAGTTCTAACTTTTATGGACAGAATTTCCAGGCTTGTGAATGATGTGCTCCCTCTGGGTTATGTGAGCAGTGACCTTAACGTCACACTGGGGTGGTTTATAGTTGATATAGTTTGATACAGTGGGGACGAGAATTAGCACCCAAATCTGAGGCCACAGCTTTAAGTTGCTGCTCCAAAACGAGGAGTTGAATTAAACCTTTGATTTTACTGATTGATCGATGTTACTATTTTTACTGATGGAAACAAGGTGATATGTTTCTGCCATGTCCAAATGGAAAGAGACGTCAGGGCAGACCAGGATGTGCTGGAGAGATGATGTCTCTGTGGCGGCTTCGTAACTTGTTTGTGTCTTTGCTGGAAGAACTGGAGTTAGTGGCATGTCTGCTTAGAGCAATGACCTCCAGTATGCTGGTGACTCAGCGAAGTGTTGGCAGCTCGTAGCAAAGCTGACTTTTAGTGTTTTCGCC